TCAACCACCTGTGGTGGTAGCAAAAGCTGAATCGACCTCCTCCCCCTTTCGTCGAAGCCACATTTCCCTTGCTGTAGTCTCTGGAGAGCTCTGCTCAGTGCTGCCTGGGGGTGGAGGGGTTAGTTATCCTGGGACGACCGGTCAGGTGCAGCCCCTCCAGGATTTGCTGCTTGGCCAGCTCTAGGACCAGAGCTCGTTCTGCTTGGGGTGCCAGTGTGGGGCCTCCACAGGAGGGACACACAGACCTTGTCTCCTGTGCCCACGTCAGTGCCCACAGCAGCACCAGCCGGAGCTGGACACCAGGGAGCCCCATGTTCCTGGTGAGTGGCCCTGGGTCGAAAGGGAGCCTCGGATGGCAGTTGCTCCTGCGGTTGAGTCTGCACGGAGGCCAAAGCGGGCACAGCAGCGGCAGACAGCAGTGCCACACCTACCCTCAGCCAGGGTAGAGCCACCTGTCTTCTGCTGCCTGGTAGAAAGTGGCCGGTCTGATGGGTAGCTGTGTTTAGCACAGTCTGCCAATTTGACCCTCACAGCTCATGTCTGGCTACTGACTGGGGCCTCTTTAGAGCCTGCAGCCTGGGGCTCCCTCACCTCGTGGTCAGCCGGCAGGCCTACCTTCTGAGCACCAGATTGGCCAGCTCTGCTGCCCATCAAGCCCCTGCAGGGGGTGGATGTCCCCCCCCTGGAGCTCAGGTTTCACCATCTGGCCCTGGTCACTGAGCTTGAGGTGGGGGTATGGGTGGGGGCAATGTGGACACGCATGATGCAAGAAAGAGGGTGATTTCACATGGTCAGCCCTCAAGGTCTGGGGCTTGGGGGAGGGAACTCCATATAGCAAGGTGGGGAAGGGCAATTTCCCCGCATCCCTTCAGCCTTTCTATCTCGCTCTTTGGCCTCTGCTGCAGCAGTTGCTATGAGGCAGCTGCGAGTTCCAGTGGTTATGTCCCTGGGGTCTCTGGGCTAGAAGGACAACTCCGGTTTCTATTTTTAGCAATGGGTCTGGTACAGGGGCGGGAGGTTGGCAGGTGGGGGCGGGGGGAGCAGAGTCCTTTCGCCCAGGCCCAGGTGGCAGTGCCATGGGACACAGAAGTCACTCCCTGACCCTGCCTGTGCTGGCTGCCCAGAGTCCAGTTGGACCGGAGCACACGTGGACGAGGGCAGGGGCAGGGGGTTGGCATGTTACTGTGATGTCTGGGGAAACCCAGAGAGGTGGGGGCGGTGGGGTTGATGCAATCTTACAGCAGGGCAGAGTCCACCAAGGCTGGCAGAGGGCATGGGACTTGGGAGTCTCTGTACCCAGCTGCTGGTTCTCTTTCAGGGGACTGTGAGAGTTGCTTAAATGTGGGACATCCTAGAAGTGGTGCCAGGTCTCTGTTAACGGGGATGAGAAACGGATGGCTTAGGACTTGTAAGAGTAGAGCAAACAAAAAGTGCAGCAACCTTAGTTCAATCCCAGCCCTCCTTACCTCCCTCCCTCACTGACTATAAATGGAAGGGCCAGGCCCCTCCACCTTGAACCTATGAGGGAAGGCCTCATGCTAGCCTTTCTCCTTATGCCCCAGTTTCTTCAAGAAGAGGGAGGAAGTGAGTGTGATTTGGAAGTGCGCCCCCACTCCATTTTATTCATCTCCCCACTATTTAGCGGGGGTGTGGTGGGGGGCTGTCAAGAGAGCCTGCGAATCCTAACCGGGCAGCAGGCAGAGAGAGGTGGTGCTTCGGGGGCTGGGTGTCAGTACCCCCGATGTCCACCGTGTGGCAGTGCTGTGCTACTGACAGCCGCTGTCTCCGCTCTGACCGGTTTCCCAGAGAAGGGGCCACTAGGGGAGGGGAGAGATGCAGTGCTCCCCAACCTCTCACTCTGAGAACCCTGGCTCCCCAGCGGGGGACAGAGAAGCTGGTCCCTCTACTCTCACATCTCGCCCCTGCCAGCCAGCAGAGAGTGCTGTTAGGAGAGCGTCACTGCTGCCTTTGGTCTTGGACCTCATCACACGGGCAGGTGGCAGTGGAGCTTGGTGATGGGTGCGAGGTTCTTCCTAGAAACTCAAAGCACCCGTGGCGGGGAGCAGGGAGAGGGACAAGGGGACTTTACAGACCCTCCTGTCCACCCTGCGTTTCCCCCCAGGGCCGGAAACATTCCAGCCCCTCTGTGCGGTGCTCTTCCCAGCTCTCTCTCTGTTGGTCCGGCTGGTGACAGCCCTCTACCCTCTGGGGTCCGGGCTGTAGAAATGCAAGGCAGGTTTTTGCCCACGACGGTGTTTCAGAGGGCTTACCTGTTGGTGCCAGGAGACAGAGTTCAGGGAAGCAGCAAGAAATAGCTGCGGAGTCTCTGGCCCCACCTCTCCCCTCTGCCAGGTGCCCCCAATTTCCAGCTCTTCCTATCCTCTTGCTGCTGTGCCTGGCTCGGCCCTACCTCCTCGCTGACACTTACGTCAGAACCCAGCTATAAATATGCTCTTAGCATCTTAGTCACTTTTCCCAAGAAGTGCTCCTGAGTTATAAATACTCCAGCCATCTGCCTCCCTGGCCCGCCCTACCACCAACCTGGTTGGGGCTGGGGGGTGGCGACAAGGCTGAGGGGTGGGTAAGGAAGTAGAAGAATCCTGAGTGATTATCTTGCCTAAATGAGAAAAGTCTGACAGTCTAGAGTTAGGGACTCAGGGGACTCTGGAAGAAAAGGTTTGAAAGACATGCCCACTCTTTCTCCTTGTTATAGGAGGCAGAGCCACAGAAGAAAGGAAAAAACACTGATCCTGTGTTTATTTTATTTTATTTTTTATTTTATTTTTTTATTTTTTTTTAAAAATATATTTTATTGATTCTTTACAGAGAGGAAGGGAGAGAGATAGAGAGTTAGAAACATCAATGAGAGAGAAACATCGACCAGCTGCCTCCTGCACATCCCCCACTGGGGATGTGCCCGCAACCCAGGTACATGCCCCTGACCGGAATCGAACCCGGGACCTTTCAGTCCGCAGGCCGACGCTCTATCCACTGAGCCAAACCGGTCTCGGCTCCTGTGTTTATTTTAAAATTTGCCTTTTTTTTATCATAGATTTTTTTTGTATTAATCTTGATGTTTGAAAAATATTGAATTAAAATATTATTTATTTTTATTGATGAATTTTTTGGCCTCCCCTTAAATTTTGCCCCTAAAGTGAGTGCTTCACTCTACCTCACCTTAGTCTCGGCTCTGGGGACTGAAGTGGTGGGAAGGAGGGGAGTTCGGTGGGTGAAGGGAGAGGTACCAGAAGATTTCCTTAAATTCTCTCCCTAGATGGAGATCTCAAGTTAAAGGTGGGATAACCCCCACGAGGTTGCTCAGGAAGCCCCACAGCTTAGCCTGGCAGTCCCGCCGGAGGTCCCTTTCAGACTTTCTCCTCTAGGGTTCCTATTCCAAGGACCTCAGACCCTGGTAGAAGGGGGTTATAAGCTGAGCAAACACAGACATCACGTAACCCAAAGGACACATGGGTTTTGCAAAATCCCGGCCTTGGGCTGCAGACAATATCGACCCATGGTGCAGGGCTGTCGAACCAAAGGGAGGAAATGGTGGGGGAAGAGGGCAAAGGTCTAGAGCAGTGATTTCCAACCCTTTTCATCTCATGGCACACGGACTAATTACTAAAATTCTGCAGCATTCCAAAAATATAGTTTTTGCTCATATGACAAAAAAGGTATACTTTTGACTGACTTACAAAAAAATAATAGTAATTACCTACCTTTTTTTGCTCCAAAGTGACATTAAAAAAGATTAGGTATCTAGCCCTGGCGGGTGTGGCTCAATGGTTGAGCATCCAATGCACTGAGAGGTTGTCAGTTGGATTCCTGGTCAGGGCACATGCCCAGGTTGTGGGCTCGATCCTCAATAGGGGACATGCAGGAGGCAGCAGATCGATGTTTCTCTCATGGATGTATCTCTTTCTCCCTCTCCCTTTCTCTCTCTCTAAAAATCAATTAAAAAAATCAAATCTCTATACTTGTAAATAAGGATTTCTGGTACTAAGAGTTAATCAGACAACCTTAAATGGACACTGCAACCTTATTATGTGATGTGACCAATAAGATGCAACTCTATTATATGATCTATATATTTATGGTTCAAGACAAGGCATTCACACAAGATGGCTATTGTTGTTGTTGTCAGATATTGAATGTTTTTAAAATTCTTGCGGCATACCGGTTGAAAATGTCTGGTCTAGAGAGAACCCAGAAACCCAGTCGCAAAGCAAATGCCTCCCTCTTCTCACTCCAGGCCTTCCTTTTTTTCTCCCTGCCCTACTCTAGTGGCCCTTAGCCAGTTCCAGCTTCCAATCAGGACTCCTGGATGGAGGCCTGAGAGTTGGTGAAAGCAAGGCAGCCATGTCTGAACCATTCCTCTGCCTCCCACCACCTGTATCCCCACAGGTTGTTGGCCTACTTTCTTATTGATCAGTGATCTGTGAGTACAGGGGGAAGAGAGGACCAGGTAAAACCCAGGTCTTTATTAGCCTTGAGACCAGCAAAGGTGGTTCCAAAAGGGTGCAGGGGGCCTAACAAAGGAGGGGAGGCAGCCTGGGGGAGGAAGGGCATGAAGTATGGAAAGGACACAATAGCTCAGCCCTGAGGAACCTGTGTGAGGAGAGAGCAGAAATGGACACAGCAGGCAGGCTGTCTTCTGGCCTGTCAGTTGGGGTTCTGACAGGAGACAAAAGACCCACTCAGCTGTCTGTGTTTGCATCACCGAGAAGAGCTAATGAAGGACTTCTTTTTTTAAAAATATATTTTTATTGATTTCAGAAAGAGAAAGGGAGAGGGAGACAAACTTCAATGATGAGAATCATTGATCGGTTGTCTCCTGCACAACTCCTACCAGGAGTCAAACTCTGACCCCCTGGTTCATGGGTTGATACTTAACCACTGAGCAACACCAGCTGAGCATTGACTTCTTTGCAGAGGTATGGGCAGGGTTAAGGGAACCAATGAGGGATATTGAAGCACCGAGGTACTAGTAAGAGTGGAGAGCCATTATAAGCCTTTAGCGTGGAAGCAGTGATATCAGAACCCAGGCAAAGCTGAAGCCATGGCAGAGAGGAGCCAGGCAGGAGCTGTAGGGACATAGTCACAGCCACAGTCACACAGAACCATGGCACCTAGGCTGCGTGAATAAGAAATATTTGGACTTCTTGCTTGTGTCTTCCCTTAGTCAAATTCAGCAGGAAGCAGGGGCCAAAGGAACTCAGGTGAGTCAGCCCCCAAGCCCATAGAGCAGGGCAGAGAAGGATAAAGAATGGATGTAGGTGTGCCAAGAAAGCCTTAGGTGGGCTACCCGGGCAA